GACCATCATTAAATTTTCAGCTATCAACTCTACTCTTATAAACATTTCACTTTATAAAAATTCGTGATGGTCTACGTTGGCGCTTATATCTGAATTTGAAAATTGAGTGTTTACAATTTTGACAAGTCCATGCATGTATAATATTACAAACGAAACAGAACGGGCTATGAGATTATTCCTTGGTCTCCAATTAATCAGAATATCACGTACCAATAGTTATTACGTATTCAAATACCTAAACATGTGACTCTCTTAAAGCTATGTTATATTTGTAGTTAAAACCAGGGGAAAATTTACCGCAGTGCAGACAACATCGCTTTATTATATAAATACAGAGAGGTGCCCCTTGAAATATGAGGATTTAATTTCCATTCAATACGTTTTTCAAATATTCAGTTACATCTTCTGAGTTAACTTTATAATAAGGTCTTTTTAAATCAAACTCATTTTGATTCCTACCGTGCTAGGGCTTTACAGCCAGTCAAGGTCTTTAAAAACACTCCCATCATCGTTAAAATTTTAATATTGCTATCGTGGAAAATCTTAAAAAAAGGATTTGAAAGAGTAAGATAGGTCATTAAAAAAATGTTTGAAATATGATAAAGGTTGGTGCATACTTTCGTAGCAGTTCTCTCAAACATTCCTGATGAATTAGAATAATCCAACTTGAAGATTTATGCAAAGTTAACAAAAAAAATCAAAGTAGACCAGTATCTTCTGGGACAAAATGTCAAATCTTAAATCATCTCGCGAGAATAAAAAAAACCTACAATAATTCACATTCAAATTCAATAAAAAAAACTCACCGATTCGCATTCAAGACAAAATTCTCAAATAAGAAAAACAAAAAAGACACAAAGATAAAAAATAATGATTCTAGTATGACATAAGCTTACAACTCACTATAGGCCTGACTATGGACAAACATATGCACAAGTGGAATTTTAACACTATTTAGATCCAACCATCACTCTTTTTATATTGATTAATTGACAACACAAAACCTACGTGAAACATGAAAACATGCAATATGAAAAAGTGCAGTTAAAATATATAACAACAATATATTGGTATAATAGATTACAAGAAGCTATTTCAAAGGAAAAAATATAATTCCGTCTACAGTGAGGTTTATACTGAAAGCAAGCTTTAGGTAATTATTTTATACTGTAATTTATATATTGTACCTTGACCTATAATGGTTTACTTTTATAAATTGTTACTTGGATGGAGAGTTGTCTCATTGGCACTCATACCACATCTTCCTATATCTATTGATACCCTATTCATATCTCATTCATTTTTAAAGATTATTTAAGGACTATTTTGCACTTACTAATGTGATAAGTTTTTTTTTCATAAAATAACAGATTGTTGTTGAAATAGCATTTCTATTTTCTTAGCTCCTGTTTTGAATTGCCAATAAAAACATACACCAAAAAATGGCTTAGTTTCAACATATTTTTCTTGCATATATACAAATTAGATAAGACCCATGGCAAACAGACTAATGAAGTGTTTTTTTAAGTATGCAGCTAGGAATATGTGTGTTTATTTCTACAATTTCAAGCATTTATAACTAGTTTGTCTAAAATTTATATCAAGTGACAATTATTAATTGTCAAACCTATGACTTATCAAAGAATACACTGGTTCCTAGAGGTAGGGCAGTACAAAACAGGTACTTCTGACTTGAGCAATAGGTTAACTATGCCCATTTAGTTCAATTTCATATATTCTTATTTTTGGTTTTATTATTCAAAAGAAAATTTCAACAAGTGTTGACCTAGTCCGAAGTGGTTGTATTCCTGTAAGAGAAAATAATAAGGTTTCCGGATATGGTTTCAACTAAACATGAGAAGAGGAACTTCAAAGTGCTCCACGAAACCTCTTTCCAAATTAATAACAACTATGTGAGGAGCAATCAAAGCAGGAATTCAAAGTTAAAGTGAAACTACCTATTCTAGAGGTGGCGTAAATTAGATGTGGATATTAAAAAAATCCAAAGATCTTTTAAAGTACGTACAATCTAAAATTATTTTATCTTGCAATAGTATTAAAACGTTTGACTTTTCTACACTTTACACAATTATTCCCCATTCCAAACTAAAAGACAAATTAAAATGTTTGGTCATGCTTTGTTTCATAAAAAAGAATTGCTTACGTAAATACAAGTGTCTTGTCTTCGGAAGGGATAAATCGTACTTTGTAAAAAATCATTCTGATTCAAACAAAAATTCTCTGAAATTTACATCATCAAGACGCTTTGATTTCTTGATTGACAACATATTTGTTACGTTGGAGGACGTGTTTTTCAACAAACATTTGGCATTCTTGTATTCACATGATGCTGACTTCATACATGAACTTCTTAGGAAGAAAGAAAAGAAGTTAGAGTATCCTTTAGTTTCACTTCCGCTGTATAGATGATGTTCTCTCACTAAATAATTCAAAATTTGGTGACTATGTTGACACATCTAACTCATCCAACTTGTGATAAAGGATACAACAGATACCATTAAGTCTGCCTCATATGTCGATTTACATCTAGAAATTTACAATGAGGGTCGGTTTAAAACAAAACTTTATGACAAACGAGATGATTTCAGCTTCCGAACTGTGAACTTTCCATTTCTATGTAACATTCCATAAGCGCCTGCATACGAAGTATATATATTCCAGTTGATACGATATTCCAGGGCCTGTGTTTCCTATTATGATTTCCTTGATAGAGGGTTGCTGCTCACAAGGAAGCTATTAAACTAAGAGTTCAAAGTGGTGAAGTTGAAATCGTCGCTTCGTTAATTTTACGGACGCCATCATAAGTTGATTGGCCGTTAACAATCTCGTCCCTTTCCCCGGAATGTGACCTACCGAAGTAAACATATCACCGGGTTTGTACTTACATGAGCAATACGACGGGTGCCACATGTGGGGTAGGATCTGCTTACCCTTTCGGAGCCCCTGAATTCATCCCCAGTTTTTGGTGGGGTTTGTGTTGCTCAGTCTTTGATTTTCTATGTTGTTTTGTGTATTGTTGTTTGTCTGTTTGTCTTTTTTTTAGGCATGTCGTTATCAGTTTATTTTCGACTTAAGAGTTTGAATGTCCCTTTGGTATCCTTTGCCTCTCCTTTATGTAAATGATACTGCCAATACTATATTCATAACCTTGACTTATATTTATGAATTTCGGTATGACGACTTTCTTTTCTGACTTTGCTTTATATGAATGCTAGTATAATAACTTTAGAGTTCATATGTTTATAATTTTCCTTTTCTGTCGGTAGGTTTTTAATAAATATTTAGTGAAGCATAAAGATTTGACCGACTGTTCATTGCTTACTGTAAATTATTTGACAATCTGATTTCATTTATGCTATTTTGTGGGAATAATATGACCAATTCATTTGAACATGTTTTTAATTTAATTGGTGTCTGTTGTGGTTAGCAACACATGAGTTATTATGTTCGATATGAGCTTCATCAAAATAAATAATGATGGTAAATTCATACTTCAGATAACAAAAGGAACCCATTATTAAACCGTTGTTAAGCACAATAATTGTGGTTGCTTATTTGTTGATAAACACGATTTTCAATTGAAATTACTTGTCATTGCTTACTACTTGCTATTCTTATACACCTGTCTGATTTGTATTTATTTTAATTTTTTTTTAAATCTCTTTAGTAGTTAAATTCAGATTACTAATTGTTGGTGGTTGCTAAACAACTTTGGGTTGCTATGCTCAATATGAACTTCGTAAAGCAGAATAGCAATCACTTATACATCATATATGGTTTACATCATATGAAAAACCATTTATGACAGCTAAAAATCTTCAAACGTTGCTATATTTTTATCCCAGGGGGCAAATGTAACCAATCTGTGTACCGTTACTTGGCATTTGTTTTTGTTGCTTGGTTGTTGCTTAGATTTTTATTAACTGAAATTGAAGTGACTATTCATTTGTTACTTCAAGTTATTCTTAAACAATAAATACTATTTTGAATTGTGCTAATTTGCACAGATAAAGCTATGCATAAGTGATAATTTGGCTATTTAATAAAACCGTTGGTAGGCAACTTTCCTTTCGCCGGAACACCAAAAAAATAATTGTTTTATCAAGTTTCTATACAAAGGCTAACAATGATATAAATATAAATTTATTTGGGGAGAAAATCAAAAACGCCCATTATCATAATTTGTCCTTTAAAGTTAAACTTCTAACTTTACAGTTACGCTTTTAAAAATGCAGTTTCTATGAGTTCAGATGATGCCAAAATAATTTTTTTTCTTCTTCAAATTTTAGGAAATGCAAAGCTTGTTTTGGCTTTGTCAGTTAATTTGATTTCTATTATCATTTAAGTTCAGTCTGTTATTTGAGCTAGCAAGTTCAAGAATTTCAAATTAATGATTATTTTCTGTTTGTTGACTCTGACTCTATTAAATATTCTATTGGTTTGACCTATGTAGCTTTCATTACAAGTGGGACATGTTGAAAAATAAATAATATTTTCTGATTTGCAGTTCATACTTAAATTTGATTTGATGACTCTTCCTGATTTTAGTGTTTTACTTTATCCTACTTCTATCACATCGTACGGCCAACATCTTGGATCACCGCATTTTTTCACTAATCGGAACAATCTGTTAAGTTAAGTTTTAAAGGGCTCAACTCATGAGATCGATACGCCAAAGAAAAAAAACTAACCAAAAAAAAAAAACCCCACAAAACAGCACAGATCTGAAGGTACTCGCAGTTACTAAAAGCTAGTTAAAAAACGATTCCAAAATAAATAAAAAAGCATGTATCTAAGACTGGGCCTTTTTCAAAAGTAGAATAAACAAGTGCGGTATATATGACTCTTCTAAACTTTTTTCTCAGAAATACCTTCAATCCTTTGTACGTATGTTTTTAAAATTACAAGAAAAAATATGTTTAATATAACAAACTTTTAAATTTATGTTCGATACAAATCTTACAAAATTAAGAACATACCTCCTTTTCAAGCTGGTTTTTATCTGCTACTTTCTGTGCAAAACAAAATGTTAAATATTTCTACGCACCCGTTTTTATACGAAACGCCCAATCACCTGATCAAATAATGCGTTTTGTTTGTATATGTCTATGTTGAACAAAAAAGTCTTTGTTAATTTTGTCACCGTATTAACATAAACACACAACATATGCAAATGTAGATAGTCTTAATTGTAAACAAATTTGGGAGTTATATAATATATTCATACCAAGCGGGATAATCAGTGACTTAAGACCCACAGGAAGACATACTTTTACAAGGACGGTCATTATTGATATCACAATAAAACTATAGATTTTAAAATTGTATTTCAATCATATTTCTGATTCCCTGTTGCATATTGATAAGAATAAATGTAATGTTGAGTAAAAAAAAAAAAAACATAATTCGATATTCTTTTTTAAAATTATTATAAAAGCCCTATTTTATTTCCATTTGATTTAAACGTTCCTTCTGAAGATAAATCTGAAAAATCATTTTGACGCAGCAATATCATAAAATACTGTTTTCATTTGTCATACATTTAAATGAAAATATTAAAATATTTAGTTCATGCCAATATACAACAAATTGTTTATGCATAACGTGGACAATGAGGAATATTATATTCAGTTGTCAATGGGATTATCCAGATGTATTTCAATTTAGGACGTTAGGGTTTGCCTTTGATTCAGTAATTTATAAAAATTGTTTTAATATAAAATTATGAAAAACAAAGTTTTATATTGTTTTTCATAATACCTTCATTTGTCTGTTCTTAATCATGTTACTTGATTTAAGTGATTTGAACACCGTAAACTACTGTCATATTAATTATCATTAAAATATTGGTAGACCCTTATTGTATGTATTCAAAATGTTGATGTTCTACATTTTATTTTATTTTACAATTATTTGAAAAAGATTTAAAATTAATAGCATGCATAATCTAGCTGAATAAACCAAGAAATGGAACCATCAACATAATTAACAGTTTCTTCTTAAGTACTCGCAAAGTGGTTTGTGTGTGTACCGGCGGACAAAGCAGCCAAAAAATGTGGTGATGGTATGCCGCAAATACTACACGGACGTTCTTAAGAATGAAATATTAAATTCTTCTACATTCAAGTCCGTGCGCTCCACAGAGAGTCATATAGTAAACAATCATATCAAAACCACATCACAGCTAAAGGCTTCTTCTGAACATTTGAAATTCCTTACTATGTATTGGTTACCTAAAACTACACAAACAACCAGTAAAATATCGTTTCATCTCGGCCTCTAGACTAATATTTCATTGCTTTTAACAAGTTCCTTAACTACTGTCAAAGAACTTATCATTGACTATTGTTATTAAACATATGAAAAAGTGGAATTAACTATTTTTGGAGTGTAAATTTCTTTTGATGTTTTAGGTAAATAACGTGCCTTTGATGGTCGTTTTGATTCTGATGACAGTTTTGACTTTTCAACCCTTTACACTACACTTCCACAAAATCTTATCAAATAAAAGTTTTCCTATTTAATTAAATGGTCGTTTGGTTAATCTGAATGCAAATGTATTTGCTGCAACTTATTTCAAGCCCTTTTCTCTAATGAGAAAGGTAAATATGCTGGATATACTTACTGGAGGTGTGATTAGATGATTGAAGCTGTTAATTTTCTCCTTGATGATATTTATGTACGTTTCGGCAATAAAGTTTATCGAGAGGTTGTAGGTATTCCTATGGCACCAATTGCTCCCCTTTAGTAGCAGACTTGTTCTTTTACTGTTATGAATCGCAGGTTAAGGCCAAACTCAGTGAAGACCCGTCTAAATTGCATTTAATTGATAAATTCAAAAACACTTGACGTTATCTTGATGATATTTGTTCGTTAAATAATCAAGAATTTTCTAAATATACTGCTGAAATTTACCCAAAGGAATTTACTTTAAATAAATCAAATATAAACGGTAATAACTGTCCTTTGCTAGATTTGGATATTCCAGTTTTACACGGGAAACTCTACACTAAAATTAACGACAAAAGGGAAGATTTTTCGTTCCCTATTGTTTATTTTTTTTCTTTTTTAGACGGTGCTGTTCCTTTGGCACCATCTTACGGTGTTTATATATCACAGCTCGTTCGCTATGCCCGTGTCTGTTGTTACGTTTTGGATTTCAATGAACGTAATCTATGTATTACTGTAAATTATTAAGTCAGGGATTTCGTTACCACAAATTACTTAAAACCTTAACTAAATGCTTCCATAGATATAAAGATTTGGTTTGGAAGTTTAGTTGTACCTGTAGAAAACTTATTTTTAACGGGAAAACACATCCTAATTTTTACGGAGATGTTGTTTACCGAGCCCGGCAATTTAGATACGATCCGGGTAAACTTATCGATCCTTTAAATAAACTTATTCTAAATGGTTACCAATTCAACACCATAATTAGATCTTTGAATATTGTTTTTATTGGTAATAATATTGATTTTGCTATCAGTAAATTAAAATCAAACTTAACATTTTTTTTATATACATATGCAAATTATTGGCTCTTACAATCTGTCGATACTTGTATCTTGGCATTGCACAAGGTCATGTTTTTCTTTGACTGTTAATGACGTTTTTACATTAAATCCATTGGATGTTGGTTGTTTAGTGATTGATATTTTTGTCTTAGATGCATGTTTTTTTTATTAGTTGTTATTGGCTTTGAACTATGAGTCAGTGACTGCAAGTACTCTCAGATATGTACTTAGTGTCTTTTTGTTGTCGGGGTGTATAAATACCCTGCCACGTCCACTTTCTTTTTGTTAGATGTATTTCTGCTTTAGATCGATCTGATGAGTTAAGCCTTTTCAACTGATTTTTATAGTTTGTTCTTATGCTGTACTGTTACACCACTGTCCCAGGTTAGGGGAAGGGTTTGGCGCCATCTAACTAGTTTAACCCTGCCGCATTCTGTATGTGCCTGTCCCAAGTCAGGAGCCTGTAATTCAGTGGTTATTGTTTGTCGCTGTATATCATATTTGTTTTTCGTTCATTATTTTCTACATAAATAAGACCGTTAGTTTTCTCGTTTGAATTGTTTTACATTTGTCATTTCGGGGCCTTTTATAGCTGACTATGCGGTATTGGTTTACTCATTGTTGAAGGCCGTACGGTGACCTATAGTTGTTAATTTCTGTGCCTTTTGGTCTTTTATGGAGAGTTGTCTCATCGACAGTCATAACAGATCTTCTTATTTCTTTATTTTGCAGTTCTTGATGACTGTAGATTCAATAACGATAAAGCGCTTTGGACGCATGCAATTTATATAGTGTTGTTGTCAATATTTTGTTGACTGTTACTCTGGTTTTAGTTTGGTCATAGTTTTCGTATTTAAATTGCATCAATTACATGTACACTTAAACGTCTAAAAATATACGTATATTATTTTCTTGGTTTTACTCTTATGTTGATGAAACGCGCAGCTGGTGTGAAAAATTACGAGACTGGCATCATTGATGAGTGTGTATTCTCAGACCTAACAGTTTTTGAAATTCATGAATACTTAAAACGGAATACAATCTACAATGAACACAAAGACAAGAATGATATAAGTTCAAAGTTTTCTGTGGCAGTTTGAATTGTACAACTTTTGCAAAATAGTTTGTAAAGTAAATGAATGCTAAAGCAAAGATATAAAGTAAATGGATGCTAAATCAGAGAATACACTTGCTTACCGAAGCCAACCTTCATAAGGACATAATAAATAATAATCATATTTGTCAATGATTCCCAAATCAACAGACAACAGGGTACCGTTGCACAAAATTTCGTACGATAATCTAAGATCCTTCGTCGGACATACGTCTAATCGTAAGATTATGACTGTTTCATAAAAAGATTTCTTCGCAGATTCGATCGTAAACTAAGGAATGGTAACAGGTAGTCGAATAGTAGTGGTTTCACCTGTTGACATTTTGTTAAAATCAACAGCATTACAATATCTTGCAGAAAAATGATATCCATGGGGTGAACAGAAGACATGTTTCCATATTATTTTGTCCCAATCATAGGTGATTGAAATTTTAAATTTTAAATTCCTGAAACAATCGTAAACTTATCATTCCTACATTTAAGTTTATTTTAATTGACCTAAAACGAGCACCTTGTTTCCAAAGTTCCAAACTTTGACAATAAAAGCTTAGGAGTGATTGAAAAAGCACAGTGACATCTGCTTTTGATTAAGGGGGATTGGTACATTCCATGCAACTTGGTACTAGATATTCTTAAAAAAGAAAATTATAAACGTTTATTTATTAGTTCTTTTATTGTATGTCATACAAAAAAAAGCATTATATACTCCCCTTGTGGCGTTCTACGTGGTGATTTTGAAGTTAACAATCAATGTATATGTCAAGCTAAAATTGCAATTATCCCTTAGAATACATGCCCTGCGGTTTATAACACCGCGGAGGATGGTGCTCTTTATTCAATAGACTTTTTGTTATAGAAATTTGGATTATTTGGAAACAAATACCAGTCTAGAAATTGAGAAAACAATAATCTATATACATGCATGTCATGAATATACTGATAGAGTTATGTTATGAATCCATAGTTTCAATGTAATTACACTAGTTGTCATGCGCTCTATCAGGTTTGCGGTTGCTTATAAGGTATGCATTGAATGATTCAACCCCGTACTCAATACCTGCTTTGTTTTTGTTTAACATGTTGAATTAACAATATTTCTATAATTCTAGGTTAATTTGAAAACTATGATATTTCACTTTGCCATTATTTGAGTGTGTGTGTCAATACTTATAAAACTTTATTTTCAAATTTAGAATGTTTTCAGTTATAACCAAGAGTGCACACTTTGACATGTTACGCCTGTTTCACTTATCATTGAATTTATGTTGAAAGTCTGTAACATAAGGGTTTTGATACAAATACATAAACTTAAAATTATGTTCTATAATAATGAGGTTATGGTCAGATTTGATTTTAAACATATTTTATTCGTTAAAATATGTAAAGGATTGAGCAACAGGCACAGCC